GCTAACTGCAGTGAACTTGCATGGTGATTTTTTTTAACCCTTCTCATCAGAAGATGCTCCTGTCGAGTTGGATGGCCTGGATGTCTCTGTAAGATGGTTGCACTTCCATCTTACATTTTTGGATCACTTTTGCTACTTTATTTTAAAGCTTTGCTGGCCTTCTTGTAGCCCTCACCTCTTTCGTGTCAAGAAATTATTCCTTTTCTCTGATTTTGTAATATTTCTCTTCCATGTGGAGCCATTGATGAAATGGGAAGGGGTTTTATTTGTTAAGTAATGTCCTTTTATAGTCACCTGTCTGCTGGATACTTCTTAAATAAATCACTAGACTCACCTGTGGTTGAATGCTGTTTAATTCCAATTTTGTAGTAAGTGTGGCTTTTCTCCTAACACTATAACTGGGGTGTACTCATTTTAGCAATATGGGCTTGAGTAGATTTGTTAGGAAAATCACTTTTTTGTGTGTACAAATTAACAAATCTCGTTTGCAACCAATGGCCCACATTTGTGGGAGTATTTTGTAGCTTAGTATCTCATAGAAAATGTTGATTCTGAAAGAAAACTAAAGTTTTTCAGAGGAGTGTACTCATTTCAGCTGAGCACTGTATTATAAAATGTCTTTAATATAGATTTTAGTTTTAAACTGTTCCTTTCCAATCATCTAAAACACCTGAGTAAGGAACTGTAATATTATTAATTATTATATTAACATAAATCAATCAATCAATCAGTAAATAAATGATTAAATAAATAAAAGATGCATTGGCTTTAATGGTTTTGATGCAGATATTTTTCTGAATCAAATTTTCTATTGGACACAAATATTGTTATCCCCATATTTTGAAAATAAAATGTCATCATTTGTGAGTTTTAGGATACGTTCCTATTTAAGCTGCATGATGGTGCAGTGGTTAGCACTGTTGCCTCGCAGCACGAAGGTTGCAGGTTCGAAACTCGGCTGCGGCCTTTCTGCGTGAAGTGAGTGTTCTCCGCATGCATGGGTTTCCTCCGGGTACTCCGGTTTCCCCCACAGATCCCAACATGCCTATAGGTTATAAATTGTAAGTCGCTTTGGATAAAAGCGTCTGCTGAATAAATAAACATAATTGTTCCAATAGTTATGTTAGTAGTAGTAGTAGTAGTAAACATTGTGAAAATAAAGAACTGAACTCTGGGAAATAATAAATAATTAATTCATTTCGCAATGAGTCTGATGGTGAACCACGTCCCAAAAGCAAAACAAAATTACAGTAACTGCTTCAGATCTGTAAATAAATGGTAAACATGGTCAGATTTGAGGAACTGTTATTCATAGTGCATGCAGTCCTTCACACAGAGCCTTTGCTGGTAAATCCTGACACACGTGTGCCCTACTTATCAGTCACCAGTCATTCCCAGGCTTTCAACGTCATCATCTGATGAACAGGCGAAGAGGAAAAAATAGATACTTTTATTCTAGCACTTGATTTGCCTAAAGCAGATTCTTCTTCTTTCAAACCATCCAAGTCTCCTTTATGCTCTAAACAAGACTGGATTTCTTTAGAAATGTCCTTGTGTATTCATGACAGAAAACTAACAAGCAGGAAAACCATAGGACAGTAGTTAATATGACAGCTCGTGTGATCCCGTTGTATTGAGGTCAGCCTTTATTTTGCAACGACGAAGGAATATATGTCACACACACAGCATCAATTGAGCTTACTCCCTCCCCCATTCAACCTATATTGTTGGGACTATTTTTCTAGTGTGAATAAATATCACTTACATAAGAGGCACTTCTCATTTCAGCATTGTTTCTGTATAAAAATGTGTGATTGAGACTATGTAGTAGACTAATCGATGTCTTGGGAAAAGGCTGAAATAAATAAAGGGAACCGTAGCTTCATTAAAGAGATGGATTTGGCTGTTTGGTGTCTCAGAGAACATTCCTGCTCTCATACTGCCATCAGTTAGCTTCAGACACCACTCATGTTAAAATTTAAAACATGAATAATAGCAAGCAGGTGACAATACTTAAATATGTGCACCTGTAACCTGATAAATCCAAATGTTAAACTGGCAATGCAGTTAAATATCTCAGGAATGAATAAGCCATTATATGAAGAGAGCAATGTTATTATATCTAATGGCAAGGCATGAAAACACAGAGTGTCATCAACCATGACCCAGTCTGTTAGGTAAGTCATAAATCAGGTACACGTGTATCATTACCGCCCCCACATAACTGAATCACAAGAAGCCAGTGATCTCTGAAAGACCAGATGTCCATCTGAAAAGAAATGCCAGATTCAGCTGTAATGCAGAACGTTGGGATGAACCTAATCCCTTTCACCTCCACTTATTGGCATATCACAGGGATTTGTAATCTCAAATCTCTCACGGGGTTTGGAGTTTCCCCCCATCCGTGGTCTCCCGTGAGAGCGGATCCCATCTCACTAATGCTGTTGCGCAATCCTCAATCACCGCTTTAATACATTTTCAGTGCTGCCAGTCTGCTGTGGGCTTATGTAACCAGTGACCTGTCCAGCACTGAGTGAGAGAGAGAGAGAACCACAACAGCCAGCCATTGTGGTCACTTGGCATGTTTTTATGGAATATTTTATTATTTTTAAGGTTTATGTGAACTGCAAACAGACTTCTGCTGAAAACTGAAGTGCGACCACATTTTTTTACAGCCCTCATGTCTATTATCTGATTTACTAGCCCTATTCTAATATAGAAACAGATTGAAATTCATGTTCTTCATCAAAAATGAAGATGGCAAAGAAAAGCAACACATTTGGTTACGTAAAATACTGCACAAAAGTGTCTCCTCCCATTTATCCATCTTTAAAGAGACAACGTGTAGTTTTTGTCATTATTCTCTGGAAATATCCATGAAAATGTACTTGAAAATGAATTAAATGATGCCCCCTTGTCCAAAAATATTGGCGGCTTTGTAACATGTAACCATAAAAACCGGGTATAAAATAGATGTGAATGGGTGTAAGTCTCTGGGCGTCGCCATTTGTTTACTTCTACAGGAGTGCATGAGGAAAATCGGCATCTACTGATGTGTAAGAAACAGTTACAAAATGTTTGCTCATTCATAAACGTTGTTGTTTTACACATTTACTTCTTCACTCACTCATTGCCAGTGATGAAAGGGAGTCTGATGTGCTTGTCATTACGCTGGAGGTTACGCTGTCAGGGATTTTTGACATCCGTTGATAAGGTCTTACTTAAACAAAAATATCACTTGCTTGCAATGATTTAGGTAGGTATTGCCCCAAATCACCCAGAAAAATACACAACATCACTTTAAACTAAGGAGAAATAAAAAAAGTACCATCCAAACACAACTGGATTTGGCCATTCAGTAACTGGTAAATAAAATGAGATAATAACAGTGGTAATTACATACAATAATAATCCATACTAATTCGAAGTTTTTAAATAGAATGCCTCTTTATATTCTAGTGATCTAATACTACTCTAAGGGGAATATCAGTTACAGCGTGAGTCTTTTTCCAAGGACGCTTTGCCATGCGGAGCAGCTAGGAATCAAATAACAGATCTTCTCTGGGAGAGAAAACAAGGTTTGACGTAAAAGCCAACGTCCAGCACTATAACCCGTACTATTTAGAACTGACTGCAGATGCAAATGTTTCATTTAGTTTGTTTCACTGTTCATTTTTCTGGAAATGTAAACACCTTTCTGCATACAAAGAGGGAAACATTCTGTTGCACAGGAGACACCCTCAAGCAAATTATTTCTTTGTGTTTTATTCCCATTTTTTCACCAAAACTTTAGATTTCATCACCAGGAAAACCATTGAAACAATGGCAGCCTGGACAAATTCAACCCAAAAAATGTGGCCTTCACCAAGTCAACTGGTCAACCCTCAGAAAGGGTGTCTTGGAAAAAAGTTAAAGAGGTCTTTCACTCATCTGCAGTGGTCTATAGTGGGGATGAATGCCTTGTAAGTCATACTCTGGCGGAAAAAGCTCCAGTGTGCCTGTTTCAGCATGAAAATTTGAGCCAGAGGACAAAGTAGCTTCGGACAACAGGATTTGGACTTTTATTTCCTGATATTTGGACCGACTGCATCTGATTGGATAATAGCAATACGACTCTATCACTGACTCCTATTGCTTTGCAATATTGATGTTTTATTTCCACAATTAACACAAGCCTGAAGGAGTTTCTGATGTGTGGTTGAGTTGTTAATGCTAACAGTTAGCTTCTACTAGCCAAAAATATATCTGCCGTCTGCTGGATGCTAAACCAACAACAGCCTTCCCCAAGTCAAGATGGGTAAGTACATGAATGTTCAGTGACAGTGTGACATAAAGCTGTCGGGATTTTCAAATCCTAGCATTTCACTGTCTATCAGAAGCTAATGTAATAATGGAAATAGGGTTAGGACCCAATTTTCACATTCAGCCTGCATGTTAACTCAGTGATTGACCATTTTCAAAACTAAATAAATAAATAAAAATGGTTTCTCAGTGAAGGACCTCTTTAACACTTCAGTAAAATGGCAAGCATAAGGAAAAATAATTTGTTTCTCTAAAATCTAAAACTTTTAAACCTATTCTAGTGATAATGGTAAATGTCGGCTCAAAACGAGGGCAAGAATACAAATATTCCAATCGAGAATCTCCAGACTCCTGGGGTCAAAATAACCTTTGTCATCTTTCTCATTCCTTTGTCAGAGATTTGGTGGCAAGTGCAACGCCATCTGTATATGACTAATAAGTTTGAGGAATGTATTATACCATGTCAAATCTGAAGTTCTTTTATGCTCTACAGGGCGCTGAAAATGTGTTCATGAATAAAATACCTTTTGATTCCTTCTCCTGGGGAGTTCTTATGCATGATTGGCTGACTGATTGCTGAAGACTAATGTAGCGATAGTAAAGCAAATGATTAAATGCCGTATGATAAAAGACACCTTAATGGGAGTGCAAAAGAAAAGAAAAATGTGACACTTAGAAGTGATGTTTCTTGCACTTACCACTGCTGAATGGGGCATGGGGTTAAATCCACAGAGATTGCAGACGATGCTTTTGCATTCTGTGCAGGTGTTGTAATTAGGTGTGTCCTTTGAGCCCATGTTGAGTTCGACCTTACAAAGAGGACAGGTGGAAACAGCTGCTCTAGGGGCAATGCTGATCACTTCAGTGAATTTCTGAATTTCTGGTCTTGCTTTTTCTTCTGCTGATGGAATCGGCTTGGCCTGTTGAGGAGTGTCGGATTTCTGTGCCGTGGGTGGTTTGACATCCTTTCTAGGACTTATTTTAGGAGAAACTGGAGGAGTAGCTTTGGGAGAAGTAGGAGCCGTAGTGGACATCTTCCTTGGAGTTGGAGGCGTAGTTTTTGGCTCATCCTGAACAGCTGAAGTTATCAATGTAGATGCTGAGCTAAGAAACGATGAGCCAAAGCCAAACATCTTCCCAGTCACTGATTCAGTGGCTTTTGCTGCTGCAGCTTGTGTTTTAGAAGCACCAAAGCCAAAGAGACCTCCAGTATCCTGTTTAGTGGGCTGAACTGGTGAAGCAGATCTGGGAGATTGAGTTGCTTTCGGGGGCTGTAGTGGTAATTTAAAGGCTTCTTGTTTTGGAACACCTGGCTTTTCTTCTGGCATTGGGCTTTTAGAAATCTGTACTTTTTGCTGCTTTTCAGTCAGTTGCTTCTGGTCCATCACTGTTGCGCCTTTCCCCTTTTCAGTCGCTGAAACCTCTTCAGCCTTTTGCGCAAGACCTTGCTGAGGCTTTACCTTCATATCAGCTGCTGATGAAGCTGCAACCTCTGCTTTCGGTGCTTCTATTTTGCTTGGGGTTGATGGGGCAATAGCTTTACCTATATCTTTGGCTAGTGTCAACTTCTCTTTCTGTTCAGCTGGAGGTTGAGGGACCTGGCTTGCCGAGGGTTGTTGTTTCACAGCAGGAAGTCCAGCTGACTCTGATGCTCCCAGGGCTCTCTGCATCTGGCAGGTTAGGCAAAGCCATTCCTTTATCTAAATCAAAAGCAGTACAACAAACCATTACAATAGAAATATACATATAATGCAGTGTTTTGATGAATAAAGAAGGGAATATTTCACAAGAACATGTTTTTTCACTGTCAAGGAAAGTTAATTTAATTTATTCACCAAAATCTTTAGAGTGTTAATGCATACAAACATGTATTATTCATTTTAAAAATAGAAATGATGACAACTACTAAATTTATATGCATAGCTAGTTTGCAAAATAAAAAGCCACAATGGACAAAATTAGGTGATATAATCAACATACCTGTACATTTCAAATTTAACACTCAAGGCATTTCAAAACAAAAGCAACCCTTGCATACCTCTGTTATTGTTGGCATTGCATCAAATCCACACTGGGTGCAGACTATGTTCTTGCATTCTGTGCAAGTCTTGTAGTTGGGGGGGTCTTTGGTGCCAATGCTGAGATGGGTCTTGCAGAGTGGACAGACTGACTTTTCTGCTTTTGAAGCATCTTTGTTGTCTCCTGGGACCTTCGGGGGTTCTGACGGGGATTTGCTCACTTTGGCTTGTTCTGCTGAATGAATCTTATCTTGCAGTGGTTGCTCTGGTTTCTTTTCCTCTATTTTGAGCACAGGAGGGGGTTTGGCCTCTGTTGCTTGTACTGTTTTAGGTGAAGCCGGTGGTGTACTTTTAGGAGATACTTTGTCTGTGGTGGACATCTTACGTGGAGCTGGTGGTGTAGATGTAGCAGTAACTTTCTCCGTGGTGGACATCTTACGTGGAGCTGGTGGTGTAGACGTAGGTGTAACTTTCTCCGTGGTGGACATCTTACGTGGAGCTGGTGGTGTAGACGTAGGTGTAACTTTCTCCGTGATAGACATCTTACGTGGAGCTGGTGGTGTAGACGTAGGCGTAACTTTCTCCATGGTAGACATCTTACGTGGAGCTGGTGGTGTAGACGTAGGCGTAACTTTCTCCGTGATAGACATCTTACGTGGAGCTGGTGGTGTAGACGTAGGTGTATTTTTCTCCGTGGTAGACATCTTACGTGGAGCTGGTGGTGTCGACGTAGGTGTAACTTTCTCCGTGGTAGACATCTTACGTGGAGCTGGTGGTGTAGACATAGGTGTAACTTTCTCCGTGGTAGACATCTTACGTGGAGCTGGTGGTGTCGACGTAGGTGTAACTTTCTCCGTGGTAGACATCTTACGTGGAGCTGGTGGTGTAGACGTAGGTGTAACTTTCTCTGTGCCAGACAACTTATGTGGAGTTGGAGGAGTAGTTTTAGTTTCATCCTGCACGGCTGAAGAGATCAAAGTGGATGCAGAGCTTAAGAAAGATGAACCAAAGCCAAACATCTTCCCTGTCACAGAAGATGCAGATTTTGCAGGAGAAGGTGCTGTTTTAGCATGGCCAAAACCAAAGAAGCCTCCGGACTCCTCTTTTGCAGGCTGAGCTGACGGTGGAACAAATTTAGCTGGTGAGGTTCCAGTTTTTGGAGACTGTTGCAGAGGTGGCTCTCTCCTCTTTTGATCAGGTGAAGGAGCAACAGCTTCTGGCAGCTTTTGTAATAAGGGCCCTGCTGCCTCCGAATGAGATGGAACAGCAGACTTAGGAGGACTTGGGCCCATTGTTGCTTGTTTTGGTGCTTCAGGTTTCCCTTCAGGCATCTCTGACGATGGCTTTTGTGTTGCTGGGGAAACATCTGCCTTTTTAATAGTGGAGGAAACTGTTTTGTCAGGCAACGGAACAACTATAGGTCCAACCTCCTTTGATGGTACATCAACAGAGGTTTCTGTTTCTTTAGCTGTGATAAGCTCATTACCGGGTATGCCTGGCTTTATTCTGTCTAGCTTCGAATCAGTAATCAAAGTTTCTATTTTCTCTACATTGACAGGGACCTCTTTGCTAGACGAAGCCTGTGGTTTTATCATAGGGAGGCCTGGAGGTTCGGAGGCTCCAAGGGCTCTCTGCATCTGACAGTTGAGACACAGCCATTCCTTCACCTGGAATGCAAAACAAAAAAACAATCATGAGTAATGAGTGACTATAATTTTTTCTGTTTGCACATAAATGCATTAGTTGACAGAAACAAGAAAAATGCATCACATCTAATTATTTAAAAGTGTAGTACAGAAGTAGAATCTGTCCACACTGCAGAATTGTACACGTGTAATCTTTAAAACGATGAACAAAGCATTAATTAAGTCACTGCTTCAACTGCCAACATTTTAACAGAAGTATAACTGGCAAATGCATCCAACCACAAAAAGACTGTCTCCTAATTACCTTAGAAACATTAGGAATCGGACTGAATCCACACTTGTTGCAGACAATGGCCTTACAATCTGTGCAGGTGTTGAAGTTAGGAGGATTTTTAGAATCCATGTTAATCTCCACCTTACAGAGTGGACAAGACTGACCCACTTTTGTGGCTTCCTGAAAAGTGTCTGGTTTGATCACTTCTGGTGGACCTATATCAACTTTGTTCTCTCCCAATGGAGGAGTCTTGGGTGCCCCAGATTGGTCTGCTGTTTTTTCAAACTGTGTTTTCTGCATGTTGTTCTTGTTAGTTTCTGTTACAGACGTCCTCCTTTGAGAAATTTGAGTGCTCGGCCTTGGAGAAACTGGCATTTCTGACACATTCTCCGAGACTTGAGGGGCAGATTTACTCAACTGATCTTCAGAGGTCTTAATTTCTTCAACTTTTTCTTCTTTCTTTTCTGTAGTGGCTTTGGATGGTGTAGTTGTCCCACCTTGTGCAGGTGTTGTTTTTTCAAGGTTTGGAATAACAGGCTCTGTCTCTTTGCTTTGAGGTGCAGGGGGCATAGGGGCATCCTTAACAGGTGGTAAACCTGGCTTTTCTTCTTTCATTGTGCTTGAAACAACAGCTACTGCTTCTTTTGGAGCAGCGGATGTCTCATGAATATCCACATTCTGTCGCAGAGCACCAAGTGCTGGACTTTCCTTCCGAGCTGTGTTCACAACTACAGCTTTTTCTGTGGGAATAACATCTTTCAGTTGATCTGTATTGACATTCTTTAGGGCAGAAGCAGGTGAAGATGCTTTAATGGGTGACGCTTTAGGTTTTATGATTGGAGACTGTGCCGATTCAGCTGTTGCAAGGGCTCTTTGCATCTGACATGTCAAACATAACCACTCCTTAATCTGTTGGGAAAAGCGGTGGATTTGTTAAACACTGGAGAAAATATTAAATGAGCAAAGCACATTATGATATTTTTTTAAAATAAACTCTTAAAAATCAGTCAATATATTTTGATTCTCACTTACCCCTGCTTGATTTGGCATCGGATTAAATCCACACTGGTTACAGACTGTGTTCTTGCATTCAGTACATATACTGTAGTTAGGTGGTTCGTTGGACCCAACATAGAGTTCAGCTTTACACAGTGGACAAGAGGTCTGGCCCTGTTTGACACCAGCTTGGGATGGATCTTTAGCCTTTACAGGCTCCAATGGAGCTTTGTCCTCTTTGGCCTGTCCCACATTAAACATTTTGTTCAGTTCAAGTTCTGCTTTCTTCTTCTGCTTTGCAGCGGGGGATTTGACCTCTCTTGCAGGAGACAGTTTAGGAGAAACTGGTGGAGTAGTCTTGGGCTGGTCCTGAACAGCTGAGGTAATCAAGCTAGTTGCAGAGCTGAAAATGGAAGAACCAAAGCCAAACATTTTTCCACTTACAGACTCTGCTTGCTTGTTCACATCTTGCTGAGTTTTAGTACCACCTAGTCCAAAGAAACCTCCAGAATCTTTCTCTGAAGTAGCATTGCTCTGCTTACGTTCAGTCGGACGTTTCTGGCTAGGTGATCTATTTGGTTCTGATGTTCTCTGTGGCTCATCTGGTTGCTTCTTTGATGCAACTGGGCTTGCCTGTTTCAGAACCACTGGCTTGGTGGTAGTTTCTGGTTTGTCTGGCTTTGCTGTTGCAGACAGTCTCCTCTGAGGTGACTGTGGTGCTGTCTTTTCAGGCTCAGGTGTGCTGGTGTTGTCTGTCTTTGCTGGTTTAGCAGTTATCTGAGATTTGACAGATGCAGCTTTGGGGGACTTGTTCACTTCAAGGGCCCACTGCATCTGGCAGTTGAGACACAACCACTCCACCTAAAATGAAAAATAAATAAATAAACAAAGTAAATTTAATCAAAAATAGTGAAACCTGAAAAAATGAATTTCTTTATATTATCTTACCACAGCTTCATTTGGCATGGGGTTAAATCCACATTGGTTACACACAGTGTTCTTGCACTGAGTACATGTATTGTAGTTGGGTGGATCCTTGGAGCCTGTGTTGAGTTTGACCTTACACAGTGGACAGGTGCATTTATCAGTTTTGACACTTGCTTGAGGACTTGCTTCAGGCTTTGCAGCCTCTGATAGTTTTCTGTCCACGTTGGTGTCTACTGATGAAGGTCTCATTGTCTGAGTCGATGGTTTCTGTGGCTCACGCTTCTGGGATACGGGAGACTTGATTTCATCTGGTTTACTCTCTACAGGTAGTTGACCCTCCACCTTTAGTGGCTGCTCTGGTTTCTTCTGCTGTTCTTTCTGGACAGCAGAAGGTTTAGATTCCTTTGCTGGAGACAGCTTTGGAGAAACTGGTGGAGTTGTAGTCAACTGATCTCGAACAGCTGAGGTTATCAAAGACGAGGCAGAGCTAAAGATGGAAGAACTAAATCCTAACATCTTCCCACTTGATGCGTCTGCAGTCTTTGCTGCTTCAGGCTGTGATTTAGAATCACTAAACCCAAATAAACCTCTGGATTCCTGCTGTTTTGCTGGAATGCCAGTCTCCTGTTTGCTTTCAGGTTGGCTTGGCTGATGTGGTTTCCTCTGAGCCGTTTTGAGTATTTGTTCTGTTGTCTCAGCTTCAGATTTTCTTGAGGTTGTGGATTTATTCTCCTTTGTTTGTTCCACAGAGTCTGGACTGTCCTTCTCTGGAGCAGTTAGCTTGGACTGATCCTTTGACATAAAAGCAGCAGATGGAGGTAATTTACTGGGTGATGTTTGGGACTTCAGAGCAGGTGGCGCCACAGGCTCAAGGGTTCCTGCTGCTCTTTTCATCTGACAAATAAGACATAGCCACTCTTTTATCTAAAAATACAACAGACAAATGGTTGTGTGTTAATATAGGATTAGAATTTCAATTTGGAAGATTTTAACAGGGTTTCCTCTACAAAACTTGCTAGGCCTGGCGGACCGTGAGAGCAGAGTGGGGTGGGGTGGTGGGTGGGCACAGTTCGTTCCCCTGCCGTCCGTGACAGCGAGGGGTTCACTGATCATTTTGCCGCCGTCTGTCATACATGACAGCGGGAGAGAGGCACGCGGCTTTTTCGGTGCAACACAACCAACACGTTCGGTACCGTGCGTCGTGCCTGACTGTGCGGAAAGGGGGGATGGAGGGGTGGACGCTTGGCCAGGCAGGTGACCAAGCAAGGCCTGGTGGCCTGCCAGGCTCATAAAGCACTGGGGGAAACCCTGTTTAAGAAAAAAAAAACTCTCAAAACCCTTACCCTAACCCTGCAAGGCAGGCTTCAAGAGCTTAAAGAGTTTATGTTGTAATGGAAAAAAAAATCTATTTGCATAAACTGAACTGAGAGAGTTTAAGGCATAAATCCCATCATTACTTACCTCTCCAATGGGCATGGGGCTGAATCCACATTGATTACAAACTGTGGTCTTGCACTCAGTACAGGTGTTGTAGTTGGGAGACAGCTTTGTGCTGATGTTCATCTCAACCTTACAGAGTGGGCAAGTAGATGGAACTGCACCTGCTTGCGGGATTTTTGATAACTCTAGGGAAGCTTTGTCGTCCTTGTTTGCATGGGAGTCATCCGATTTCTTCTCCAGCTCTGGTTTCTGAGGAATCATTTTCTTTTCTCTTGCTGGTGACATTTTGGGAGAAACTGTGGGCGTAGTTCTTGGAGAGATTTTGGACACAGCAGACAACTTTGGAGGGACTTGTGCTGGTGCGGACATCTTACGAGATGCCGGTGGCGTAGTCTGGGATTCGTCCTGAACAGCAGCTGATATCAAACTGGATGCTGAGTTGAAAATAGAGGAACTGAAGCCAAACATTTTTCCTCCGAATGATTCAGTTGTTTTTGAAACAGTTGGGCCCACTTTAGGACCACTGGATGGATTTCCTGACTCAGGTTGGGCATCTGGTAAAACCTTCTTTTGTTGTGGTTCAAGCTTGTTTGCTTGTCCGGCCTGTTTTTGTGGACCTGTTCCTTCTTGGATATCCACAGGGGTTTTCTGACCAGCAGCTGGGATAGAATGAGTTTCACCTGGTTCTTTTGCAGCCTTAGTAGTAGGTGGAACTGTTGCTCGCTGTACTGTCTGAGGAGAAACTGGTGTGGGCCCCCCCTTCTTTTGAAGTAAACCAGATACTGCATCTTCCACCTTCATATCAGATGTGAGCAGTTCCTTCTTTTGAGTTTCTTTCTGGATAGGAGCAATAATTTTCTTATGTGCAGGAGATGGAGAAGTTTTGTTGGCTTCACTTTGGGGTTTCATAGTAGGCTCTGTGGCCTCGGATGCACCAAGAGCTCTTTGCATCTGACAATTTAGACATAACCATTCTTTAGCCTGAAAATAGAGAAAATATAAGGAATAAGATTGCAAGTTTTTTTTTAATGGAACATTTATCTCAGTAAAGGTTGAATATGGAACATGGACACCATCGTGACATCTAGTGTGAAGAGGTTGAAGTTGTAACAGAACAAAATTTCTAGCTATCGGGGTGTTGGTTCACTGCCAATATGTGAAGTCACCAGCCAGCACCATGTCCAGTGATGAATTGTACAGAGTAAGAACTCATTTCTATTATTAAGTTTATTTTATAGCAGTATTTAATGTTAGAACATCTTCTAGGCTCAGAATCAGCTGCTTGACTTATCGAGTTCACCATTTTACAGTCACAGCCTTGATGTGAGCAAACGTTTTACCACAATGGTGCCCTCTACTGGCTGATAGATGTAAACATAAATCCAGTGATGTGCCCGTTAAAACACATTTTTGATTATTATTATTTTTTTAAATATAGCTTATGAAGGAAAACTGAACCTACATTCTGCACACCTCTAAATGTCTGGTGGAGGTATTAATTTAAAAAATATATAGCTTTTGGTAAATTGTTCCATAATCAACATTTAATTTAGCCATGTTAAAATTATTTACACTGAACTGACAACGTATACCTGTTTGTAAATAAACATTCCAAAATATATAAACATAATAGAAGAAATATACCGTAAATCCTCTAATACAGGCCAGGGCCTGTATTTTACTCAAGCTCATCAAGCTCCAGGCCTTTATTGGAAGAAGGACCAGAATTAGAGGAGGCCTCAATTTCTATTTGAGCAAAATGAACTAATGGTTCGCTGGAGTTTTTGACAATTAAAATTTCGCCCACATTTTCAAAGTTAAACACATTTCTTTTAACAACGGTAGTTTCTGCTTCAGCCCTCTCCCCCCTCCTCAAGCGCAGCGGCCAAAAACTCAATGATGTGCCTGCAGCCTCTCGGAGTTCCTGCTGCTCTAAACAGTAAAATAATTATTTCACTTTCTGTTCCTCACTTCTGATTACCTTCAATGGTGTTTGTCTGTTGCAACCACCAGGTACAAAAACTAACTTGTTTTTATTTGACTATTTTTCTGTCCTGTCTGTTTATTATCTTCCTGCATCTCCTCTCAATCCTAAATAAAAACTGCTACCTGGTTTCATATATATTCACCTTATGAGTTACCTTTGAACTGCAGTTCTAAAAGATCTACCGACTGCAAAAACAGCGGAGTGCTCGCCGGCCACATCAGTGAGGTGCGTCACCGAGGACAAAACAGGTGATGCGCCGGGATCCACAGCATCAAAAAGCATCAGGCACAAATAAAAGAATAAAAGACAGGAAACATAAAAGGAAATGAGCCGACATGAACGATCGCGTGTTAAATTAGTTTTTGAGGTGGCGACACCTGATTTGATAATGTTACTGTGGCCGTGCTCAGGATGCAGATGTCTGGAGCGCGTCAACAATCAGAGCTTTGCATGTGCAAGCTGGTTAAGGTTAGGATGGGGGTGAGGGGAAGGTTAAATTGCAAGAGGGTGAACGTCACAAATTGGTTAAATGTCCGTTTTACGGCGGGTGTCAGTACCGACGCTCAGGCACAGCGCGTTGCCTCCCGACGCGCAGGAGCTTGTCACCTTTAGACAGCAGGCTGCTGTCTTTTCTGAGGACTGCATCTTGCCGGTCATTATCACGTGACAGCGACTAGTCGATGACAGGCATAAAAAGTCACTATAGAGCGGTGAAGTCGACTAGTGACTAGTTCATACAACCCCTACTTCTCCCCAGAGTGTTCTGCAGTATAATCAGCACGTTCTCTTTGAACTTGATATCAAATTTTCGCCTCCTCTTCACCTCCGCATGGTTCAAGTTACCCTCGCGGTCTTTCACTGGCAAATCAAAAGTGAGATGGATGACACAACCGCCCCCGTTCTTGATTGTTACCACATTCCACCCGGCCACAATAAAATACCGGCCATTATTCACCTCCGCCACCGGCCAAAATGTGATACCCGTCAATTAATTGAATACAGGCCAATATTAGAGGATGTACTTATGAAGGTTTTTTTTTTTTTTTTTGGATAGACAATAACTAAATTAGTGAATGATTTTACAATTACCTCTGACGTGTTTGGCATGGGATTAAATCCACACTGGTTGCACACAGTGTTCTTGCACTCTGTGCATTTGTTGTAGTTGGGAGGTTCCTTGGAACCAATGTTTAGTTCTATCTTGCAGAGTGGACAGGTAGGTTGACCTGCCTTGGGAACATCTGGAGCAACTGGCCCCTTTAGAGGCTCTTGTAACTCTTTTCCTACTTTGGCTTGCAGCTGCAGAGAGGTCTTGGTCTGTTGGAGTTGTTCTGGTTTCTTTTCTTGATTGCATTTCTGAACAGGAGGCGTTTTGGTTCCCTTTGCCATTTTAGGAGAAAGTGGTGGTGTGGTTTTTGATTCATCGTGGACAGCTGAGGATATCAAAGTAGATGCAGTACTGAAAATGGACGAACCAAAGCCAAACATTTTCCCACCAACTGACTCAGCAGCTTTTGCTGATTCAGGCTGAGTTTTGGGACCACCAGGTTTTACGGACCTTCCCACTTCTTCTTTTGCTGGTGGCATATTACTCTTCTGGGACCCTGTCTTCGGGACTTGCTGAGGAATGTTCTCACCAGCTTCTGAAGTGATATGTTGCTGACTTTCAGATCCTTTATCAGATTCCCCTTTTGCTGGCTGCTCAGGAGATTTTTGTGGTTTCCGTTGAGGTGAACCAACTGGTGAGGACTCTTTAGATTTCGCAGAGACTGAAATAGCTTTCTGTTGAGTAGGAGTGTCCTTCTTCACAACACTGGCAGGTTTATTTGCTGACTGTAGGTTCATCACAGGTGTTCCTGGAGGCTCAGATGCACCCAGTGCCCTCTGCACCTGACAGTTCAGACATAACCACTCCTTCACCTACAGCAAAAAAAAAAAAAAAAAAAAAAAAAAAAAAAAAAAAAAAAAAAAAAAAAAAAACATAAGCTGACATCAGTTTCCCTGTGGTTCACAAGAATGCATGCTGGCTTGAAAATGATGTTTACATAATTGGGACACAATCATCCTCTTACCTCTGTAACATTTGGCGTTGGATTAAACCCACATTGGTTACAAACAGTGCTCCTACACTCGGTGCAGGTGCTGTAGTTGGGGGTATCGTTAGTGCTCACATTGAGCTGTACCTTGCAGAGAGGGCATGCTGATTCACCCCTCTTGGAAATGACAGGTGAAGCTGAAGCTTTCTTTGGCGGTTCTGGTGCAGGTTTTTCTGCTTTTGGCTGTGCTGATGTTGGACCCGTGGCTTGCTTCAGGTCCTGGGGTTGCTTTTCGTGTTCTTTTTTGGTGACCGTTGGAGATTTGGAGTCCTTTGCAGTTGTCATCTTGGGAGATACCGGAGGTGTTATTTTAGACTCATCTTGACTAGTAATTAAAGTAGATGCAGAACTTAAGAAGGATGAGCCAAAACCAAACATCTTCCCAGTGACTGATTCTCCATGTTTTGAAGCATCGGATTGACTTTTGGGACCACCAAAACCAAAGAAACCTCCAGACGCTTGAACTGTGGCATTTCCCTGTTTTTGTGCTGCTTGAGCTGTCTGCTGTGTTTGTTTCTGAGAACCTGTCCTCTGGCTTTCTTTAGGAGATTCCTGACCAGCAGTTGGTCTGACCTCTTTATGGCTGTCTAGCCCTTCAGCCTTGGGAGGTTGCGGTGGTGTTGACATCTTATTCTGGGAAGAGCCTGCCACTGGTGTCTTTTGATGTGCAGATTGTACTGCATTTGTCTTTTTAGCTGAAGTGGCTGGGGATGTGTCTCTCTGGGAGTCAATTCCTCCAGCAGCTCGTTTCACCTGGCAGTTTAGACAAAGCCACTCCTTTCCCTTAAAAAGTACAGACAATCCGTTAGAAAGAAATGTCATTATGGGCTTCAAATTTAGTTAGA